AAAAATAAATTTATTTGATTTGTTTATTCACTGACGCCAGAATCAGGAATAAAAAAAAATATTAATTTAGATTTATTTTATTTCTATAGCTGCGTAATATTTACTAACGACAGAGTTGGAAATATCTGTAGTTAAATATTCACTGATGCCAGAGTCAGGGATATTATAAGCAAATTATCATAGCACAAACTAATAAACATATAACAATTTAAGACGAAACTAGCAATGCAGCCTGCCTCAGGCAGGACGGTTTAGGGGTGATTTTATCTTTCATTTTCCGTAACCAGTCTCGAACCATAGAATCTCTGTTGACCAGTTAGGGTTCCTAGTGACCATAATACTAGGTGGCGACTCTTTAAACAAGACCATTCTCCCATCAAAGAACTGGATGCCAGAAATTCATTCTTTCCATGAATTATATTTTTAAGGCCGCCGCGATGTCGGGTGCGACATAGACTATAATACAAAACTCATATAGGAGGCTTAAGATTCATTTTTACTGGCCAACTATCAAGAAGTTGGTAAAAAAGATGGTCTAACAATGTGATACTTATCAAGTCAAGGAAAACAAAATGGGTTATTTAAGATTAGTACAATCCTTGCCCACTTCTATAGGCATCCGAGAAGACATCACGATGGATTTCATAGAACCTTTGTCAAAATCGTAAGGAAAAGACACTATAGTGATTATAGACACAATTTTTGAAATATAGGCACTTTATAACATTGTCTTATCCTCTTTCAACTCAAGATACTGCTCAATTATTTCAAACTATTTTTACAAGTTTCATAGAATGCCAATCATAATAGTCACTGATAAAGATAAGGTTTTATAGTTTTTTTTTTTCATTTGGAGAAAGCTATTTAAGAAACTTAGGGTTAAATTGCTTATGGGTACATCTTATCATTCATAAATTGACAACTAGATATAACGAATGAACCAATGCTTGGAGATATACTTAAGGTACATGATCATGTATATTCCAAAAAATGGTGTATGTGGTTGTCACTTTCATAATAGTGGTATAATAATAGTTTCCATTCTACTATAACTCCTTTTCAAGTACTCTTTGGTTATGTACTACCATTTTGAGATATAATTCATATTGATTTTACTTTAGTTATTTCTATGGATGAATTAATACAAAAGAGAGTTAAAATGGATTAGATGTT